CTCTACAGTTATATAATTACGTTTACAGTTTTGTGTTGATGACCATCAACACAACCATGTTTCTTAACTGATGTATTTTATAATAAATTTGCAGATTATTTGCAACTTTTATAAGCATTATGCAGTTGTATATTTTGATATATATTTGCCGTTACAGTTTATTGATGAAATCTACCATAAACAGTGCCATGTTCGTCAAGAGATTTTATACCAAATTTTGTTATTATTTTTATATGCTCTACAGTTATATAATTACGTTTACAGTTTTGTGTTAAAAAATAAKATTGTTATAAAATTGCCTTCTTCAAAGATTTTGTCATGCCATGCATCTCATGCTCGCACAACATTTTAAACAAAGATGACAGAGGCCATATGCAGTCATCAATTGCTATTCTTTATACTAGCACTAGCCACATGCAGTCTTTGACTGCGTATTTTGTTAAATAAGTGTATGCAACTAAGTAAAAAAATTGTTGTCGGTTCGCAAAAATGTCCATGATATCGAAGCTAACACCGAAGGAAATCTTATTTAAGTTACACCTAAATTACACAAACGTTGTCCTATTTAGGAATTAATTACGATACAAAAGAAAGTGTTCGGCTTTGTCTTTTAATGTATTCTTAATTTCCTAAATTCTTAAATCTCAGGATAACGTTTTGGTAAATTGGCGAATCATATTTTACCTAAGCATATTACATTTTATACAACTTTTCAGTAAAATCAGACGTTTTGATTGGTTGGCTTTCGTGTGTTATCAAAGTATAGATACACGGATTACGTCAAAACTAATATAAAACAGATAGATATTACACACGCACGGAAAAATGAGATCTATTTGTTAAATAGCATTACTTGTAGAAATGAGATAGCAGACGAGACAATTTTCAGCGAAACTGTGAATGAGTTGTTCAAACGATGATGATTTTGCATGTCATCATTAGTTAATAGATCCCGACACGCCTTTTCAAATGTCTAAATGGTGGGAACTAGCGGTAAACTAGTGTGAGCTGCGTCGGTGTTTCTAAAGAAACAGTTATGTAAAAAGATAAATTTAACACCGTAAAAAAGTATGTGAAATAACTTACTGACGTTTCGGACGTTAATCCTTCGTTGGTGTAAAAGTGATGAAAATAGGTGAAGGGTTGTTTATCTTTTGTTCCCTTTTTTGCACCTTTATTGTTCTTTTGTCTTACACTTCCTTTGCTTTTTTGTTTATTTCACGTTACCATGCCTACTTTGCTCCTGTTGGTCTATTTTCCTTCCTACTCCTAATATATAAACTCACCCTTTACCTATTTTCATCACTTTTACTCCGACGAAGGATTAACGTCCAAAACGTCAGTAAGTTATTTCACATACTTTTTTACGGTGTTAAATTTATCTTTTTACATAACTGTTTTCAAATGTCTGTATATTCTAAAGAAGTACTGGATCGATTGGTTAATTGCTAAGGTCTGGCTTCTTGTTAGCCTGTGCCGGAATTTCTATCTAATTAGATAGAAATTCCGGATGTAACACAGGCTAGCTTCTTGTGTGTTTACACTCCCTCGTTCGTTAGGATCATTCAATTTTCTTTTGTTGTTGTATTTCCAACATATTTTGGGACCTGTGTGAGGTCCCCACAACTCTTAGGTGTTTGTCAGATGGATATCCCCACAAGTCGACAGAGTTTTGTTTGTTTTCTTGTTTGTTTTTTGTTTGTTTGTTGTTTGTTTGTTTGTTTGTTTGTTTMTTTTTTTTGTCATTTGTGCTTGATCGATGTTTTATAATTACTGTAGTTTAGTATATGTTATTTACCGGTTATAGGTCGGTCCGTATAGGAAAACACTGCCCGAGGTCTTGACAGTACGGACCGAGCGCACCGAGGCCAGAGGGCAGTGTTTTCCTATACGGACCGACCTATAACCGGTAAATAACATTTTTATTTTTTTTATTTGTATTTTATGCAACTTTGCTGATACCGTCGGACCGGGTAGATCGTGAAAACCGGACCGCGCGCTAGCGAATAATCACAGCGCGCGAATGACTAGGATTCTGGACCGAAAAAAATAAATATGATTATGTTTTATTGCAGCTTGAATGCCAACTTTCGTCTTGGATCAGTAACAAGTCGTTTTATTTTGTATTGGCTGAAAACTAAAATCCAAATGAAAGTTTCTCCAATTATATCATTCTGCCTTCATTTCCAATGGCAAAAAAAAAAAGAAAAAAACAAAAACAAAAAAACAATTGATATGACATGTTGATTAACAAAATTCTTTTTTTTTTTTCAAGAAAATAGTCAGCTACATATTGAAATTTTAAATTTATATCTTCTCATTGAATACTAATCTTGAAAAAAACCTAAACGTGATTACATAAATAAAGTGTTTATGCAGGATAAAAATTGGACGCTTTTAAAGAAATGTTTATGCGAATAAACAGTAATAGAAAATTGGACGCTTTTAAAGAAATTGGTTTGTAAATGGTACCACCTTATTCGCTCCGTTTTTAACATGATCAAGAGAAGGCAGCTGTGCATAATATCTTTAAAATTCGTCATTTGATGAACTTATTAGAAATTTCCTCATTTAGTTCTGATCCAAGATGAACAATTCAGACAACCTTGGCTTCAACCACAGCGACTCAAATATCACTTCTACCTCTATCGATCAAATAACTGCAAGTTTGTCTTTGAACACAATCATGAAGATAGCAGCACTGATGCTGGTCAGCATGTTCGGGATTTTTGGAAATATTTTCGTGATTGTTTTAGCCGTTAAATATACACTGTGGACATGTTTACACCATTTGATCATCAACATGGCTATCGCAGATACTAGTTTTATTGTGGTCAATTTGTTAGATACAAGTTCCTATGAATTTCGGCCAGCATTTTCTATATATCCTGATGGCATTTTTGGTGAGATCGTCTGCAAAGTAATTGTAATAACAGCCTATGCCTCTTATGGTGCGTCCATAAATACTCTTTTAATCATTTGTATTGAAAGATTTAGAGCAACAAGACTGCGAATATTAAGACCAACAAGCTTCAGACGACGTGCTGCATTACTGAGCGCATCCTGGGTGGTACCATTTACCATTTACGGCTACACATTGAATTACTCCAGAGTCTTACATGGAAATTACCAAGAGTCCAACCTCAGTGTAGTCGAATATAGGCTATCTCCATTATTCTATCTTCAAATACTCTACCATATCTTAAACATAATTACCTGTTTTATAATTCTGCCACTTAGTATAATAACTTTAAGAAGATTATCTGCAGCCCATTTCTTCCAAGGCAATATCAGACAAGATCAGAGAAGAATTCGCGAACGTCGTATAAAGACTGCTGCAAATATGGTCTTGGCTTCTTTGATTTTGTACATGATTTGCTGGTTTCCATATCACATTTATTTTATGACTTCTTTGGTATTGATAGAGACAAACAAATATCATGATTTCTATAGCATCGATTATAATTNGTACGTTCAGTAATAGTAGTTGTGATTAAAAAATTAATTGAAGATAAAAAAATACTAGAAGATGCTAGATGTCACAGAACTTAACAGTAAACAGCAAGTAAAAATATCAGTAAAATTTCTCGATCTCGACATGTTAAAAAATACTGTCATTGTCATAGTCCATATCACAAGCCCGCCATTTTGAATGGTTTTGCAATGTATCATGGGATATATATGTCCCTTTCTTCATCAAAACAAATCACTAAAATCCTAAAAACACTAATTAGTTTCGATTTTTCCACAGATAAAATGCTTGTTTTCATTTTTGCTTGATTTGTCTAGTAAATGGAAATTCTTGATTAACTGTACATTTTTTGGAGGTTTTTCTTGCTGTATTTCCTTGCATGTTGATATTTGTTTGTTTTTTTCGCTTCTGAGATTAACTACAATATCAATATTAGCCAACGTTTTTCGAAAACTGAGTCTACGTTACAGACAACTGGAGCACTGACATCGTTGTTCACTTGTTTACTCATTTATCAATCCCAAAATGCACTGCATCACAAGGCTTTCCGCGGGTTGCGATATGGACTATGACAAGAATCGCTGTACTTGTTGACCTGTGGGGACTCCCAGGACCCCCATAAATTGGGGGGGGGGGGGGGGGGGGGGGGGGGCGTTGTTGATGATCGTCGTATAAAGGGGTGAAAATCGGGGATCTGGTATCTATTGGGGTTAACATATTTCAATTCTTTCCTCTTCATGACATTGATGAATTAGAGAGTTTACTGAAAATCTTTTTATAAATTTAAGGTTGAAATTATTTGATGTTGAGGTCAATGGAATTGTTAAAAGTGCTTTTAAAGATTAATAAAATTGTCAATTTTTAGTTGGTATCTTTTAGAATTGAAAATATTGCATGTGTCGCCACGCCCTATTTCGTAAGCGACTGGCATCTTGTTGTGGTTCCAGGTTCTCCCTCGCCCTCTCTCGCCTAGCCTGCGCGGCCCTAAGGGGATTGGGGAAGGCCGGCTTCCTCCCCACTCCCCGCTCGGCCGGCCCTCCCCAATCCCCTTAGAGCCGCTAAGCAGGCTATCTCTCGCCTAGCAGACAAAGCCTTTGAAATATGAAACTTTAAAATCAATCGGGTACCACATTTTGGAAAATTCCAACACTTTGTTACTGAAAGAGTCGCCTTCTTCACAGTCTTGAAAAAGAGAAAAAAATAAATTGATATTTTATTCATTTGTATATGTACATGTGTTTGATAAGCTATGTGTATATATTTCTTATCAATAAAAACTCATCCTCGGGAACCCAGGTYTAATCTTCTGTCGTTCGTTCCTCACTCCCAGAAAAATTTTTTTCTGGGAGTGAGGAACGAACGACAGAAGATTACACCTGGGTTCCCGAGGATGATAAAAACTCAATATGTTTTGCTTGTGACCAGGTTTAAAGTAGAATTAACATTCAATATAGGTCGAGATGCTTGATTAATGCAAATAATTTTTGGTCTTCCTGTGCCACTTTTTCATTCCCATAATCCCTTTTGACAACTTCATCACAGAAGATGCTTGTTTTGCTTTGTAGTCTCTTATAAATAAAAGTGGGACCTTATACCTCTCCTTGATGAAGAAATAAGGTAAGTTTACAAAGCACAATTTGCGAGTTGAGAATTTTTGTTGCGATTATTTTAAAATCACTGCTTATACGACCGCTGTCTGTTGATGGAAGCGAATAACTTATTTTCCCTCCAAAAATCTCAGGAAGTTCACTTAAACCAATGTATATATAACTTAGTTTCATTTTAGACCACAGTGGAATATGCGTATTCAGTCTTAACTATGCATAAATCGAATTTCGAGTAGAACTTAAAAGTTTATAGTTTTATCGATGAAAGCCATATGGTCGTCTGGTGGGAGGTCAGGGAAAGTTTTTGTAACATTACTTACAGCGCTAGTTCTCTAGAAGACATTAATATTTATTTACTGATTTTGTAGGTTTGATGCATTGAATTTTCAGTGAATTCTCAGTGAATTTGCCTTTTTATCGCAGTTAAGCTAGTTTTTTTTTCCAGAAAATGCTTAAAACTCTGGGTGGGGAGGGTTGGGCTGGAGCAAACTGTTTTTCTCTTGCCATGCTTTGTCTAGCCTGCGTCACATCCGGATAACCATGGCTAGTCCGACTGACTTAAACGTGGTTTGTCCGGATGTGACGCAGGCAGGCTTTGTCACACACATGTTTGCATAAATTTTCAATTAAGATATAAATTAACTGATATCTTTCTCGCAGGAAATAATCATCATTATGAAATTAATTACAATCACCCTGTGTTTATTATGGCTTGCAAAAGGTATAAACATGTCTTTTCACATGTATTTCAGGCTATACAATTAATTGCATCTGCCAAAGATGTTTTCGCAATAAAGCTAATTTTATATATTATATAACAGACACTTGGTCTATTCATATTTTAATATTAAAATATCAATTAATCTAATGATAACAAACTCTTGGAAATATTGATGGGATGTTTATTATAATATTTTCTAGTAATAAAAAGCTCAGTGCATATTTTAGGGTATAATTGATTCAAAGCTTTCAAAACTTTTCAGCCAGTAATTGAAAGCTAACATTATGGTTGATATAGGGCAAGAGTTTCAATATAATAGACAGCTACAGCATTAGAACTGTCTATTTTATCTGTTTACTGACAGTTATTTTGGTCTTAATAAGAAGCATTTCATAGATTTGAAAGTCAGACAAAATTTTTAAGCTCTTTGAAATTGATTTGCCTAAGTTATTGCCGATTTGATGTACTTTGATGTCTTTAGTGTTAAAAATTTTCTTTGTCATTCCTTTGATCTAAGTGAAACAAATACAATATGTACAATGTTTTATTTTGTATTTAATGTAGATTCCCATGCTGAAGACAGAGTCCGTTTGGCTGATGGTAAAACTCCCAATGAAGGTTTTATACAGATACAAATTAATGATACAAAATGGGGCACACTCTTAGACTACAGATTTTTCCATAAAAATGAAGCTGTAATGACTGCCTTTGTTGTTTGTCGAATGCTGAACTATACTATGGCTATCAAAGCAGACACAGTTTGGTATGATCTAGATTCGGTTAACAATACATATTGGCCTTATGCTTTGAATTGCTTAGGCAACGAGGGGACCATTAGCAATTGCACATATAGATTGTCAACATACACGATGTGGAAAGATCATCAAAAACCCGCTCCTTATCGTGCTATTTATGCAGTCTGTGGGAATCTTTCACAAGGTAGGGATCTTGTTGGAATTTACCCTTTTGCTACAGTGTACAGCGTACAGTTGTAGTAATAATGTCAAGAATACCTTCTCATTCAGTTACTTAAATGTGTCTATAATGACAAAACTATTGACATTGTTGGTTTACGTGCCCCGCTATTTAGCTCACATGGTACAATGTTTTGCCGACTTGGTCAAATTTCGTTAGGTCGTTTCTCCTTCTTGCTTGATTGGCAAAACATTACAAGTACTATGTGAGCTGAATAGTCCAATAACCAAAACAATGAATACAGCACACAGAGAAAAGTTACCGATTATACTATGTTCATTGATTGCTTGATTCATTCAAATCACTTTTCTTTCTTATCAAGTTGATCAATTGATTCAAGTCCGTCTAAATGGAACAAATCAGAGAAACTATGGTCTTTTGGAGGTGAGGAACAAGTCAGATGTGTCAACATGGAAACGGATCTGTGTGGGGTTGAGCAGTTGGGATACAAATAATGCCAATGTTGTTTGCAAGATGCTTGGCTACAAACAAGTAGTTGGAGTTTTTCTCTTTGAAATAAGCGGTGATTCCAGAAGCAGATCTTTGTCATATAGAAGAATATATTATAGATGTCAAGGAAAAGAGTCAAGGATTGAGGAATGTGCTCAGTTTGAAAGCGATCGTTCTTGTTCAAGTCTTGATTACTATGTTGGGGTATTTTGTGAGAACCATGCAAGTATGTCCTTTTGTTATTTTATAGTCTTTTAAGTCTAGAGCAAACGCAGGAAAACCATGAAATAAAATCAAACTAAATAAGTTAAAAAATAGCGACTATTTAGAGACAATTTGTCAGTATCAATGAACCAGAACACAATGAAGGTGAATACACATGGGACCATTTTTAATTCATCTTTATTGTGTTCTGGTTCATTGATACTGACAATTTGTCTCTAAATAGTCGCTATTTGCTAGTATTTAGTTTGATTTTATTTCATGGTTTTCCTGCGTTTGCTCTATAAACTACTATATAATTGATTTTTTGATAATGTTTTTAGTTTGTTAGTAAATACGTTATAACTGCCTAGTAAATAAAGCAATAATATCAGTTCTAAACCTACAGTATAAGGGACTTGAAACGTGTAGCAGCTGTACATTTCTTTAGTGTCTTTAGTACTAACAATGGAATATTCAAATCTCATTAAAAAAATCAAAAATGAACGTTATGACCATATTTAGAAAATTTTGGCCATTTAATAAAAGAGATTCAAAGCCCTCTCTGGTTGGCTTTAGGGTAAATTTAATTGTTCCGAATAAGGAATGAGATGCAAATTTAATGTACATCTGAATATTCCAACAGATCGTGCGGCGCTAGTCGTTTCAAGTCCCTTATAGGTTTCTGATAATAATTATATGTATTTTTATATAATGTCTTTGACATTGTAAACCTCAGGCACTCCTTAATAAAACAGGGTGGGGGTCCTTGTTGGAATTTTTGACAGTGGTGCCTACAAAGCATCTGCATTGTGAGATAATGGGTGTGGTAGTGCTGAAATCTCACCCCTAAGAGTGACCAATGAATAACATGTCAACCGGATTTGTAAGGTCCTATGTGCCACACAGCACGAGGAGAACAGTTTTACAGGTAAATGTCTGTTMGACAATTTGTTTAAAATTGACAATAATTTGAAATGTTTTCCAACAGTACCTCCACCTGTTCAATACCGATTAAGCAACAATAAAGTACCAAACATTGGTTTTCTTCAATTGAAACATCGAAACGTTTGGGGAAGTGTGTGTTCAAGATTAGACAAAAGTACATCTGATTTTATTTGCCAACAACTTGGCTATCTTGGGCTCGAGTTTATGGATGGACCGCCTCTAGGAATTCATCCTCCAAAGACTGTAGTATCATGGGAACTTAATAAATCATGTAATATTTCAAGCAATGGCGACTGTTCCCATGGAGACATTTGGAAAATACATTTTGAAGGACCTTGTAAATCCTTTAACTCTGAAAGTTACCTTGTTTGCAAAGTTGGTAAGTTAGTGTGGTCATTACAATTAAATATTTTGACAATTTAATGGCAATTTTTGTCATAAGTAGTACTTAAAAAGCATGAGATTTATGCTAATTTCCTGAAAAACTGGCAGATTTTATGTCAAGGCAGTGAAGACCCCTGGTTATAAAGTATATGAGAGTGATTGACAGCCCTGTTAACTTTTTTTTATGTAAACAAAAACCTTTCAACCGGAATTAAAAATTTTCCCGCCATGAAAACGCGCGCGCGCCCGCTTCTCCGATTGGCTAGCATCGGCTAGCATAGCAACCAGGTCGTCTAGAAACGGATACGTCAGTACACCCTGAACTTGGCCATCTGAAGTACATGTATATTCCTTTGGTTTTCTGTTGTGATTATAATGCCCATTTATTAACAAATTCAATTATATTAATAGAACTATGTCCTATTTATTGTAGCTTCAGCTCCCCGTTACCATTTGGTCAGAGGATGTCCACCCTTGCTAATTATCAATACTGCGCAACTAAGTAACAAAGAGAAACAGCTTATTACGTAGGTCCAAACATATCCTAATTATTATGATCTGACAATAAATTGGGAGATATTAATAGATTAGTCAATCAGTTAAACCATACATTTGTTAAGTTTTCAATCGCAGTTAAACCAGACACATTATTAATTGCTATCTTAGACTATCAGTTAAACAAACGTTATTTGCCACTGTAAGTCAATAACAAGACATTACTAATTGCCGTCTATTTGAAGTCAGACAATAAACCTGACACTTTAATTGCCGTCTATAAAGTCAAACAGTACTCTAGATGCTTTGCCGTCTAAGTCAGACAGTAACAAACACTTAAAGGGACACTGTCAATGGCACGCATGCGCGAGTAAACTTGAAAACATTAGGCTAATGTTGGGCGACATAAATCAGCTCGTAAACAGATCTAGAATATTCCAAAGTTTGTCAAAAGCACCAAAAATGATATACCTCGAAGGTAATACTTTCAAAGTCCGTTAGAGGCGAGACTGTTACTGCGCATGTCATCCATTTACAGTGTCACTTTAAACGTCTGAGTCAACCAATATATATTTATGTTTGCCATAATAATTGTTAATGACTGAGTTCTAATCATATATCCTATACACTTTTTTCAGGTATTATCAAGTAACAATACTAGTTTTTTTTTATAATACGAAGTGGGCTGTCTTTTACATCCCTGGAAACACTACAGAACTGAACATTGGGGATAACAAGACATATGTTAGGGGCCTGAACAGACCGCTAGAAATCGAAAAGAGATACTATGTGAATGTTAGAGCGGTTTATGAAGACAAGAATGGAGTATGTTTTCACTCGTAATAAGGATAATATTTTATGTATAGTTTAAAACACGAGAGAGAGTGTAAAACACGATCTCGAGTGTTTTAAGCGTCTTCAAATCCGTTAAAATTCTTGGAAAAATTGCCGTACAAATATGTTCAGAGATAAATCGAGCAAACTGATCATGCGCGAATCACTTTACAAAGCACTCTTGTCATCCCACATTGAATACACATAAAGTAAAATAGAACCGCTCTTGGCTGTCCACTGAAATCGGTAGACATCCTGCATTGGTCAATGATCGATCAGGTTTCAAACCTGAGACCTTTGCTAGGGTCATGGACCTTTATATCTGATAAAGGTCACCCTTATTAGTATTCTTTATATAAAGAATTTAGCTTTATTCACAAACGATTAATATATTAATAATAACGAAAATCTCCTTTTTTTATCGATAAAACAGAATCTTGGTTATGGGACCATAGAGACTCAGATGTATAGGTTGCCTTACATTAAAATAAGTAGCGCCTGTCCAACATCACAAGGTAAGGTTAAGAGTGACCAATGCAGTGCAATGCAGTGCAGCCTTAAGCGGCGTTTACACGAGCAATTTTTCCTTGACAAGTTTCTTGACAAGGAAAAATTGCCCGTGTAAATGGTTAACAAGTTTTCCTTCGACAATTCTTCCTGGAAAATATTTCTTTGCTAGTGTAAACGAAGATCAGAACAAGTTTTTTCCTTAACAAGGAAAAATTGCCCGTGTGAATGATCAACAAGTTTTCCTTGACATTTCTTCCTTGCCAAATTTCTTTGTTGTCCATTTACACAAGCAAATTTCGTCCTTGACAATTTTTCCTTGTCGACGAAAAGCGAACATAACTTGGCTTTTCCTTGACAAGAAAAAATATTGTCCATTTTATGCCATTTATACGTCAAGTAATTTTTCCTTGTCAAGGAAAAATTGCTCGTGTAAACGCCGCATTAGCCTCGAAAGCATGTAATATTCCTTTATTCAGCGAGATTCTGTTGTTGTGCAAACACACTTTGTACAAAGAAGACAAACATTTATGCAAAGAAAGAGAAAGAGAATTCGAAACTGGAGTATTTCGATCTAAAAATTCAGCTCTGAATTAAATGAGACGTACTGCTACGTAGTTAAAATGGATGGAAACATTTATTGCAGCACAATAGACGACTAGGTTTATTGACTGTATCTGAGTTTCCAGTGAGTCCAAATTCCATATTTTGGTTGAACGAAGACTCAGAATTGAAGACGAGGCTTAGGGGAACAAAATAATTTTGTATTGTTTTTCCGGAGCTCCTCTTCATTCTTCATTTTGCGTGCTTAGTCATCATCCAAATTATCAAATATCGGCTATTGTACCGCATTAGGGCGCTTTGCTCGAACTGGGTAAGGCCCTCTCTCCTCTGGAAAAAGACCACAACAGAAACTGGGCTGCAAGATAAACACAAAAAATTATAGCTCAATTCTAATACGCGCCAGATTTTGGAGTCAAGATTTAGTACTCAAGGTCAAAATAATTTCTAAAAATGTAGATGATGTATGACTCAACCACACGAGATCAGTCTTAGTGTAGCTGCAAGCAAACTATAGGATATAATATAGGGTGGTACTTTGACATACTATATTATACATGAATCTTTGTTTAGCCTAACTCAACATTTAAACACGCGAGAAATTGTGTAAATTTGAATGACTCCATTTTATTTCTAAAAAAAATCCATTTTTTAGTTCCAGAAGTTTCAACCACTTTGCCATCAACTAGATCTTTCAATGAACAGACTTCGGTTGTTATGAATAGTCGTCAGTCACTTGGCACTGTAGAGATTGTGGGGATTCTTATTGGTGTTCTGTTGGTTATCGCTATTGCCGGTATCGCTTTCTTAGCTTATAAAAAGGTAAGATAATATAGAGGATATCTGACTGGGCGCGCGGAGATATGGATTTTATCTTCGAGTGTTGAAAAGGTCTTACGAGTGAGCGTAGCGAAGATAAAATTCTTATCTCCAAGCAACCATGATGTAATATTGTCTTTATCACATAATTATATTATATATGAAAGCAAATTGTGTTGTAAAATACTTTTTCATACTTCCAATATAAAAAGCGACCTCGATCAATGTGTATTAGCCTATTTTCACAAGTAATGATAAGAGTGGACACTCCCATCGTGCTTCTGTACAAAATGTCGGCGCTCACCAAACATTGACAATATGATGGCGTAACTTACTACAACTACCAGAGAGTCTTGCGCATTCTCATTGTTATTCAGATTTTTAATCCCCTTGGCGATTGGACACTCCCATCGTGCTTCTGTACAAAATGTCGGCGCTCACCAAACATTGACAATATGATGGCGTAACTTACTACAACTACCAGAGAGTCTTGCGCATTCTCATTGTTATTCAGATTTTTAATCCCCTTGGCGATTG